CTGCTCTCAGCAGAGCCTCATGAACGTAATCATGCTCGACGATTCGACGACTGCATTTGCATGATGTGTGGCCGGCTCTTGAGAAAAGCATGGCAACAACTCAGCCACTGAGCTGCAGCACGGAATCATTCAACTACAGTACGAGGAATGTGACTTCTGCAGAATCTGACCTGCAGCTTGCGGCAATTGCAGCATCCGAAAGGAACTTCACAGCACTTTCGCTGCCCGCAGAAGCAGGGAGAGGGTTTGTCACTGCATGATTCAAAGCTTAGCTCTGATCTCGCAGCTTTGGTCCGTGGTCACCCGGACATGCCTCTATGCCATGTGCGATGAACTTCCAAGCTCCAGCCTCCAGTCGGCCAGCACAGACTCTTCGTTATGGCATCAGCATTTGCTGAACATTAAGGCGCGGAAAAAGATAGCATCAGATTCAGCCTGGCTAAGTGCACCTCGACCTATAGAAGCCCTGCATTAAATAAAGTTTGCATAGCTCGGCGTCAACGCCATGCTCTAGAGCTTGATGTCGGTGTCCAGGATCGGCTGAACTGTGTGTAGGCAGGGCACCTTGAAAAGCAAAGGCTTCACATGCCGACAGAAAAATTATGCGGCGGCTTCTCGAAGCAGCGAAGGGCCGTTCTCAAGGGTCCGATGCGATTACGCATAGTTCTATGTTGGGGTTCCCTGCTTTCTGTATTTACAGACTGTTGGAACAGGGTTTACGCACTCCTCCAATGCCACCCGCGGTCAGTGCCCCGATCCTGTGGCAAAACTATCTTGGGACGGGGGAGTTGGTACAAGGAACACTGGGCTGAAGACTTGGATCTTCGGGCTTTGCAACAGCAAAGCTTGTTTGCCTTCATCGAGAGCATGGACAGGACATGTTCAGAACATGATTTTGCAGTGTGAGGTGTGCCCCTCGCATCGTGTGCCCTTTTATTGATGGCGGCCTTACACGTCCAAGTGTGCCCTATCTCTGCATTTTCGTCGAGAATCTGCGGTCCAGAGCCGCCGCGGGAATCGAAGGGCGGCCGATAGGTATGGCACGGCCTGGCCGGCAGACATGTTGCTATTGCCCTTGCTCCTGCTCTTGCTGCTGCTGCTGTTGCTATTGCGGTTGCTCCTACTCTGTCTCGTGCTCTTGCTGCTGCTCTTTCTCTTACTCTTGCAGCTGCGCTTGCTCTTGCTACTGCTCTTGCTACTACTCTTGCTGTTGCTATTGCTCTTGCTATTGCCCTTGCTCTTACTGTTTCTTGTGCTGCTGCAGATGCTCTTGCTTCTACTCTTGCTGCCGCTCTTGCCCTCGCTATTGCCCTTGCTCCTACTCTTTCTCCTGCTCTCGCTGCTGCTCTTGATCTTGCTCCTGCACTTGCTATTGCCCTTGCTCCTACTCTTATTCCTGCGCTTGTTATTGCTCTTGCTCCTACTCTTGCTCCTGCCCTTGATCCTTGCCCCAGCCTGTGCTCCCGCCCTTGCTCTTGTTCTTGCCCTTGCTCCTGCCCTGGCTCCTGATCTTTCTTCTGCTCCTGCTCCTGAACCACGCTAGGATCATTTCAGGGACATTTTCTGGAAAGTGTTTAAATAGCGGGGGCACATACAAAGAGGGAAGTGACTACCACTTAATATTGGGCATAATTCAGGCTTGCACCAAGTGGCGTGTGTCGGCCCACGCTTAGAGACCTTCGCCGCTGCTCCACAGAGAAGGCGGGTGCCTGCTACCACACCAAATGTCGTTCACCCTTGCTGCAGTGGCGACAGTGATGAGGGACGATTGCTCTAGTTTCAACAAATTATCAAGGCGATCAATAAATCTATGCCGCCGTTCCCATCGCCCCGGCAAACGTAGTATTCATGTCTTCACATCCCTTCACCTTCCCGAGGTTTCTGCCCACGTCGTACTCGCCAGGACCAGGAGATGGTCGCTCCGGAAACGGGGGCCTCGCTCTTGGACACTGGAAGTCTCGCAGCCATGAGGGTTTTGGCTCGCAAGGACGACAACTCGGGGTTTTGAGCTCAGGCTTCAGCTCACGCGTATCAGCGGGGGGGACTGGCGAGGTAAATGTGCCCGAAGTGACGAACAAACGAGTTACATCGATGCCGATGGGGGAGGCCATCCCAGACTACAGGCATGACAACCTCAAGACAAGAGAACGGTGGGCTACAAGATTGTTCTACGGCACTTGCGGCACACGTGATGAACCGATTAGGGGAGCAGCACCCTGTTGGCATGGTTCGCACATCAAGCAGCGAGACCTAAATTCGCCAGGGTTCAAATTCCTGAACATAGTCGAGGCCGAAACAAATCAAAGAGAAACCGAATTCGACTCGGTACGCTCATCGATTCTTGCATCAAGCTTTCGGACCTCAAACTCGGACAGACCAAGGGTCCAGAGCTTTGTTGCAGCCTTTCGGGTCTTCGGGTCTATGGGTCTCGGGCAATGGGAGCTTCAATAATGCTTCAGCAAAGCCCATCAGTCCATCGAAGCCGCAGTTGACAGGAACACAACCCCTCACTCCAGCCAGCAAATGCCCGCAAGCCAATTGACTTACCTGTCTGGGATGAACCAGGCAGCTAGGTTAGTGCTGAAAGACATCATGCCACATCAAATTAAACTCACTACCGCGAGGTTTGCAATACTTCATGAAAACGTCACTACCTGAGCGAACAACCCCACCAAACTCGGGAGGATGCAAAAGCGATATGCCAGACGGTCATCATGAATACGGGAGGATGCAAAAGCGACACGCCAGACGGTCATCATGAGTGGCCCAGCCTTCATCACTCTTGAAAGGTCGAGCATCATCATGATACTAGCTAGCTTCACTTTGATTTGTACCAACCCCTTGCAACTTCTGGTGGGTGGGGGAGGGGCGGACATCGGAAGCTGCACCTTCTCACAGTGTGCGGCTTCGCTGGTGTCTTCGACCTCCTGGCATGCGCTTTTTTCAACAGGGTCATGTCTAGCTATTGGAGCTGTCGGTGCTGCCGCTAGCTGCTGCTGGGTTCGAGAGTTCTGCCCTGCAGAATGCAGAACTGGCAATCGAACGGAAAGATCCAGAACAGCATAAACCCCTTGCAAGAACAGATTAGGTGTTGTGTTTGACATGACACGAAGAACTGTTGCTAGTGATTCGTGGCTGATTCTGTCTGGCGACATGCTGCCGATGCGCTCTGCGTACCTCTGCCCGGAAGCTGGTGATGGCGCAGTGGCTGCGCGCACAGGCAAGGAGGTGCTACCTGCCGCTTCAGTCCAAGTCTTCTCCAATGCTGGAGGCGCCAAGCCTGGAGGTGTTGGAAGTTCAACTTCAGGCCAGGGCTCCTGATCACTGCAAAAGCTGCCCTCTGCCCGCCCCCCTGGTGTCTCCAAGAATGCCATCACATTGTGAGAAGGGCCGTCCCGGCCTGCTTGCGGGCCATTGAATACCTCAAGTCACTGTGCTGGGGTTTCATCTGGACGGCATCCGAAAGAAATGCAAGTGTCCAGCAAGAACGTATAGAGATGTGCAGAATTCAATCGAACATCGAAGCAGTTTCCCTCCCCGGCTGGTCCAAGTGTGCTTTGCCTGGAGAACTGCCGGGAATCTGATTCAACGGAAGCGGGTCGAAGAAGAAAGACGTGCCCTTCGCGTCCTTCCATACCCTTTCCTGCTTCTCTCATAATCAACCTTGCTTTGTAGCTGCTGCCACTCCAATTGCTTCAGGATGCATCGGATGGTATGGCCTTCCCACATCGCCATCAACGGACCACTGCCCCGGCCCAGGCGTCTCTGGAATGTCCTGAGGCCAGCCCCACGATGGCAGAGATAAATAAACTAAGAGTTACCATAAGAAGGAACCCCCATTATAGATCCCTACTATGGTAACTTCAACATTGACCACACTTATACGACTGGTGCATTCCAAGCCGCGTGTACTTTGCGTGCCGACTGCGGAAAGGAGATCTGGCGCTTCGGACTGACCTGCGGGGAGGTGAAGCTGGAGCTTTCACCAAGTTCGGGAGATGCGCTTGGATATGCTCTGTGTAGGCTTTGCAACATCGCTTCGACCATCTGTGCCTGGGCAGAGTACTGGCCAGGTGCCGCGCTGGACGCAGCCGGGATTTCAGGCCAGAGGTGACGGATATATGCCCAGTCCTTGTGCCACAGAGGCTCGGCAGGCTCAAGTTCTGGCAACTTCCCAGGCCAAGTCGCACGGCCAGCACTGCCGAAGCTCCATACTGGCTTTGCCTTGTGTGGCAGCACCTTCGGAGAGTAACCTCACAGCATCGGCAGAGAGGTGCGAAGTCGACAGCGGCTCTGAGTTCCTACAGCGCCAAGGGCCAAGTCGCATGCAGGCCCAGGCGCAGGCTCCTTTGTGACAGTTCCAGACAGCTCCAGTCTCAAAATGGTCTCATCTCTCAGGAACCGGAAAGCCAGAAGATGCCCGCATCCTCCCTGCATTCCTGGTTTGGCGTGAAGCAGCACTTCGAAGGGCAGCTCCGAGGAGAATGCCTCGGCATCTCAGCGTGCATTGGCCTGAAGTGTGGACTGATGCAGAAGGGCGACGCAATCAGCGCATCTTGGTCAACTTCGCGGGGCAGCGTTTGCGACATAAATGATGAGGCAGCGCCCGGCCATCGGATTCGTACAGATTGTGTAGGAAGGCTGCAAAAAACCCTAGCAAATTGCCATCAGATAGAAAGTATATATTTTGAGAGTACTCAGTGCATGACAGTATGTATGTTGGTTGGCATGGTGTCGTCGATTTACTCAGTCTGGGTGCCTCGCGTGATCGGGTCAACTGGCATCTCTCCACATCAGGCACATGATGCTCCACATATGAGCCATCAGCTCATTAGCAAAGAAAGACAGTGGATACCGTGAACAATCATGCCAGCTGTGGATTGTCGCTGACGTCAACGGGCTGCAACTTAGCACTCATCGAGAAGGACGCGATGCTACAACTTCTGCCAGGTTCTTAAGACTTTGCTTTCTCCGCTGGCGTCTCCGCTGTCGCCGGTCTTTCAGGCGCTGCGTTGCCACTTCATGGCGCGACGGCGGCAAAGGCGCCAGGCAAAGGCCGCCAGGGCCACGAGAGCCGCGCACCTATAGTCCAAGCTGGCACACAATCTGCGACGTAGAGACCGGCGGTGGACTGCATCCGTGCCACCCAACGTACACGGCAAAGTCCGTGTCTCCCAGCAGAATGAGCTCTTGGGTGGCTTGGTCCTTGTCTGCGCATGTCTGAGCCATAACATGACAATGCATGGCAGAAGTTGTTTGCATCGCTGTCATCAACACATCGCACAGCACAGCCTCAGAACAGCGGTGTAAGTTGTCGGACTAGCGAGCTCTACAGGCAATCCCAAACTCAGACTCGCTACTTGCCATGCTATGTCTGCTATGCGTAGGCAGATCAGTTGCCGGTGGCCGTCGGTAGAGCCGAGGATCCAAGTGAAACTGTTGTCGAAACTGGCCCTGACGTCAGGCATCTTCAAACGCAGGCATGACCAGGACAAACATGCAACGTGCAAGCATGTGTACATGCGCAACCACCCGAACATACATCACACATGTATACATAAGCATACACGCACACAGATATATATATATATATATATACATACACATATATGTATGTATATATATATATATATATATATATGCATACATACATGCATCCGTGCACGCCAAGATGCATACATGCACAGATGCATACAAACATGCATGCATGGCGAAGCATTCTCAGGCTCGTAGATAGCTCGAGCTCGAGCTACTCTACTAAGAGTGTCGACAATAAGGCCGCTGCAAGCAGAAACAGAGGTCTTGCCTGCTTCGGGTGCAACTGTGCGGAGAGTTCCTCTGGCCGGGCAGCACAAGATGCGACTATCACACCTTTTATGCAGGGCACCATCACATACCGTCACACCCTTCCTGGCGAGGCTCCACCAGCTCGTAGTAGCTGCCTGTCTCACTCTCACTGGTCGTGGGAGGGAGTTTTACCTGTGCAGTGGCAGGCACGATTGGAGCACAACCAAACTCGAGACGTGGAGCAACGGCAAAAAGCGATACAGGATTCCCACGGAATGGCACACCGACCACAGATGGAAGCGAGCTGCTTTCCTCTCGCTAGCTGTGGTCGCCGCGGCATCCGCAGCAGCTGCGTGACTGACAGCTTCAACTGAAGTATACCTCAGAGTCTCAGAGAAGTTGAGCACCTACGAAGCCTGCGACCCCTGTATATTCCGGTCCGGCCGATTGACGACCCTCTTGCTTGCTTGTTTGCTTGCTTCAGGCTCTCAGGAGGGGAAACCCTGATCCTGCTCCGCGTGCGTGGTCGTTTCAATCAATCAATCAATCTCTCTCTCTCTCTCTTTCTTTCGCCACGGCTATGGTGTAGGGTTTTACCCCGTACACACAGACTCTCTCTCTCTCTCTCCTGGGCTTGAGGGCCGGTCAAGGCCCCCGGGCTTCAAGCCCACCCGATTTTTATCGGGACGAGAGGCGTGACGAACGAGTATAGGCTTGGATTTAGGCTATAGCCATAAAGACTACAATATCGATATCATCCAGCCGTACACTCTCTTGGACACATGCACACTGAGAAAATCCCCCAACTACGTCAACGAAAGGGAAATAACATCAGGAGGATTGGTCGGGGGAAAATTTGCTCAGCAGTGGCGTATTTGTGCGATCCCCCGGCTATAACTCGTCACGTCAAACATACAGATTAGGAGTCTCAGATGCAAACAGATAAACAAAATTTATTACTTCATTCCCGGGAGGTCCTGATTCGCACTGAATTAATGAAGTTCGCAGGTACGTCACGTCGGGGATGTGAGTTCAAACAAGCAGAATCCGAAATAACCCTGAGCAAAGAATAAAGACAACTCAAAAAGGCTATCCCCCGCAACGCGAAAGTACTGTCCTGAAATGAAAGTGTCTGTGCCCGTCACAGGGGAGATCATATGAGATCGCTTACAATCTGTTCACTGGCACGCCAAAGGAAAAGTGGATCACTTAGAATCGTTGCAAGCCTGTTTGTTGAGGAGAGCCCTTTTTCCCCGGAAAGATAACATCACCAACCATGCAAGCAGGTAGAACCAACACATGGCGTCGAAAAAATCTGAGGCTCTCCCCCAGCCCAGGCATGTGAATGTTATGCATAGTAGCAATCTACAAGGGGCATCGTCGTGTCAATGCTTCGGGAAAAGACCAAGAAAAGAAGTAACCCTCTAAACCTGCACAATCATGGGCCGTGATCGCCCGCCCGAAGCAATGCACTGCTCGCAACTTTAAATCCTAAAAGATCTACATGTCGCTACCTTGCATGAGGGAAAGGCTACCTTGCATGCGGGAAAGGATACAACGATGCAAAAAAGTATAATAAAATTAAGATGACTTGTATCACATCGTTCCCTCATTATCACCAGTTTGAATTATTGTGTCACTTGCAGCCCTGCATGTCGATATCTCAAAAGAGGGGGGGCGTGGCCTCAAAGGATCGCCAGACCCTGATCTGGGCTGCAGAGACAAATTTGCGCCCTCTTTGATCCCCCGACGGCATGTGACCCGCTGAGGCTTCTTCCACACTGATACATGAACACCAAAGTAAACAATCAATGGAAGATAAATCCCCCGACAAGTATCGCCACTATACGGGTCCATGACGGCTATAAAGAGCACCGTGCAGACGCCTACGCCTATGCTCTGCTGGGCTCTCATCGCTTTCACTTGCGATCGGCTCAGTAGGTGTTCGCCGTCCCTCTCTCAGCGAGGTACTGGGTGCATTTCCCAGTCCATGGTGGCGATCGTGCATCCACCAGTCATGGTTGCTCCCCCCGGTGCCAGGAGAGCTTGCCATGTTGTTCCCCCCATCGGTGGAGGAACTTGCTGCATTCCCCAGGGCTACAGGCTGAGGTAGCACATAATCGTGCCCGTGTGGTCCCCCTTGATCGTGTAGAGGCAGAGGAACGGGAGGTACTGATACTTGTGGTTGAAGTGCATCCTCCACGGCCTCGAGTGTTTGGAGGAGCGCTGCATGGACCGCATTGAGTTCTCCCCCTGGCCATTCGCTGAGTTGTCCCCGCAGGTTTTCTAACTCTAGCACGACTCCACGCGACAGTTGTTGTCGGCGTTCTCTGGCGAGGTGGGAGCTTAAGGTCCCCCGACTAGCAGCAATGACGTCTGCCGGATGGCTCACACCGTCTCCTCGTTCAACAGCAGCCAAGTAGCTTACCACGTCCACCAACAGGAGCCAGTGGTCGCGGTTCCGTGGCTCCATTTGGACGCCCTGCAGTGCCTGTCCCATCTGTCCAAGCACAGCCGCGGTGTTGGCGATCCCCCGGTCATAAAGGTGGTTGTCGTGAGGAGTTCCCCACTGTTGAGGGTCGCCATCAACCGCCGTTGCCATGGCATGCATGTGGCTGTTTAGCCAGGCAAGAACGATGTCAACATCATGCTGAATGTCCACATAACTGACATATTCATGTGTTGGTGCGGCGGCCAGTCGCTGGGCTGCTTTTGCTCGGATACGCTGCAGTGCTCTTTGTGCAGCACTTTGGGGGATGTCGCTCCTGGCACGTTTGGTGCTGCTTTCCCCCGAGGTGAGGTTGGGTGGGGGGTTGCTCTCTATCTCAAGGTGGTAGAGGACCTCAGCTTCAGTCTGTCCATCCACAAGTAGGTCGGCCAAAGCACATTGGGCCAAATGCCCTATCACTGTTCCCCCGGGCAGTTGCTGCGAGAGACTGTATATGCGTGTCAGGTAATGTTCTACCCTGTCGGCTGCAGCGCTAGGTGTGTTCGCGGTAGGCGTTGCTTGTGGCACAAGGGGAGCTTGGTTGTCTTGTGTACTGTCGGAGATAGTCTCAGCCAGTTGCTGTTGTTCGCCATCTGTGTTCCCCCGTCCAGGCTCCGGGTTTGGGGGGGGTATGGCGCCACGTTGTAGTGCTTGTTGTATCTGGTGTTGCATAAAGGAACTGCTGTCGCTGTGGTCGCTGGAGGGGTCTGGAATTCGGGGTGTGGTAGACGGTGGTGGTTGCTGTGGTGGTGGGGTCGTGGCTGTGGTTGTGGTGGTGGTGGTGGTAGTTGCAGTGTGTTTACCAGTGGTCGTTGCTGTCGTGGTGGTGGTAGTTGTGGTCGTCTTCTTGCCGCCTATGTTCCTGCCATCGCGGAATTTTTCAAAAGGGTGTGTAGGGGGTGTCGGCCCTGTGGGTGCTGTCCCCCGCTCTGGTGGTGGGTCCTGCTGTGCACGCCCACGTGCTCCCCGTAGGTCTCGTGTGTCCACGAAGGGTGCAGTCTCGCGCGGCGGCTGTGGGGGAGGCTGCTTGGGTTGTGGCTCTGGCTTGGTGGTTGGTGTGGTACGGTTGGCGGCTTGAGCTGTGGCTGTGGCTTTGGCCCCCCGTTCCTTGGGTGGTAGTGGTTCGGGTGTGTCGGCAGCAAAGTGGACTCGCCGTCCCCCTTTGGTCGTGGAGGGGGTTTTGGATGTATCTGCAGAGGAGGATGTTGCTTGCCTGCCCGTTGCTTCCGGGTTGAGCTGCTCAGTGTCATGCGTGTCTGTGGTTGGTGGTTGTCTCGCCCCCGGTAGGGTAGTACCAGGTTTCTGCTGTTGCTTTGGTGTAGGTTTTTCCCCCCGTCTGGTCTCTCGAGCTGTCGATGGTGCTTGTTTGTCGATGGTCAGTCGCCATCCATCGGATGTGAGTTGCACTAAGAAGGAGTCCCCCTCGGCCACCAGCATGCTGTGTGGCCAGAATTCGTCGAGTGGTGGGGTGTACGTTATCATGAATACCCAACTGTCGGGCGGCCCCAGTGGAGCTAATCGGCCGCGCAGGCCTACTGTTAGGGGTGGGGCAGTAGCGACAGGCCCGCTTTGACCCACATGGGTCACGTGGAGTGGTGGTAGACCTGCTGATGCTGTGAGTGGCGTGGGTATGTAGTGTTCCGCCGTCACCTCCACGTCAAAGCAGCCATGTGAGAGGGAGAGGTATGTCACCGTCGTCCCCTCAGCGTGTGGAAGGCTGGGGGGTATCTCGAGCTCGTCGTGCGGTGGCCCCGTGGGGGCGTTGTCGTATTGACATTGCTCCTCCGCGGTGGGGGTGTAAGGGGTGTGAGGCGCCTGTCGTGGTAGCCCGGGGGGGGTTTCCTCCCCTTGCCTCGCGCTGGTGGGTTTGTCGGCTTGGTGTGGGTGTGTGTCTGTAGAGCTGGAGGCTTCGGTGGAGCTCTTTTTGGCGGGTGTTTGCTGGGGAGCCGGCTTGGCGCTTTTGGGTTTCCCCAAGAAGATGTCCATGGCTTCGCGGAATCGTGCTTCGGCATCTGTGTCTGCCTTGGTTCCCCTGGTTTCACTGGCGGGGGGTGGGTGGTCGTCGGTGGAACTTTGCGCCTGGCTTGCCTGACTTGCTAGGATCCCCCAGCCGGGGCCACTTTGAGGCTGGGGCTCGGGGCGTTGGAGGGTTTCTCCGGCCCATTGGCGCTGCTTGAAGAGATGCTTCCCTTCTTTGTTCCCGACACGTTGTGAGCCGTGTCCCGCCCCTTTGGTTTTGGCTTTAGTGTGGCGGGGTCTGCCGAGGGGTTCCCCCATCCTGGTCTTTCCCAGGGGGGAGGCGTTTGTAGGGGTCCTCTGCGTCGTCGGTACCCTCGGAGTCGCTCTGAGGGGGCTGTCATCTATGTGCGGCGGGGTTGTGTCGGTAGGTCGTGTCTCCCCTCCGCTGTGTACTTCCGCGGCAGAGTCTGATGGTGGTCCTGGTTGTGTGAAGGCCGGTGGCTCCAGTGTTTTCTCGCCCTCGGGAGAGTCTGGTGGTGGTCGTGGCTGTGTGAAGGCTGGTGGCTCGAGTGTTTTCTGTCCGCGCGGAGGCAGGCTGCTTTGTGGTTGCACTGGAGTCAGTGGTGGCGGTGGTTCGCTGCAGGAGGCGTCGATGTCGGGGGCCGTGGTGTTGCCACTGGCAGTGTCGTTCGTGGTGCGTGCTAGTGCTGCAGGCTGTGTGGGGGGAGGTGGTTGTTCGTCGGGTTTGGTACACTCGGGCCCTGGTGGGCAGACCCTGTCGAGGTATGTGTTGGGCAGTCGTCCAGTAGTGATCCAGCTTGTGTACTCGTCCTGTCTCATATGAGGCAGTGGCCCCGTGCCTGGTGGGGGGAGCCAGCCTTGTGGTTGTGCCACTGTGCTGCCCGAAGCAGGTTGTGTTTGCTCGTATGCTGTC